AAGTAAAAACTGGTAAGTGGTCAGTTATATCACAGACAAGCAGGCCACTATTAATTTGGAAATCCATGACATTAGTAAAAATATTGTCAATAATAGTGGCGCTATGTGATGTTATTCTGCTTGGCTTTGTTATTGTTGGATATAGTGATAAGCTGTACATCGTGTCAGTAAAATCATCAATGGCTTTTAACCTTGTTGGGTTTAGCAAATCAATATTAAAGTCACCACAGATAAATAGTAATTTTTGGTTCACCGAAGCAAACGTTTTTTCTATCCATTCATTAAAAGTGTCAATACTTGAACTGGGTGTCCGATATATGCAACTTATTATAACATTTCTCTTTTTTTCATTCATGATCTCAATAGTCAAACATTCCAAAATTCCATCAATAGCCATAGACATAGTTGTTACAACATTATAGTTTATAGAGTTATGAACATATATAGCAACCCCGCCGCCCGCCTTATTTAATCTATTCATGTATTTTAAATCATATCCATTCAAACAAAAATCTATTCCTTTATCGACATTGAACCAAGTTTCAGTGATGGCTATAATACTAAAGGGGCGAGAAAATTGTTGCAAATAGTCTTTAATGAAATCAAAATTAGAGTACATACTTCTTCTGTTAAAGTGAATTAATGAGAGCTTCCCGTCTAGGTTAATTTCTTTTTCATATTGTTCCTGAGTGAAATAATTACAATTTTTAACAAAAGTAGAGAGAAAGTTACTTCCAGAATCTATTTCTGGATCTATTATATTATGCTCCTTATATTCACAATCTAGATCAATTACTTTCTGTTGAAGAATTAATTTCAACATGTCCATGTCATTTCCTGGTGTAATTAGAGATGTTGGTGTATTTATCATTTGATTGTCATTAGAGTTATATATTACCTCGATACATTAGTGTCAGTTGTACTTGTCCAGATCCTCCATGTTCCTCACTATCAGTACTTTTGCCTCTTCTGGTGTCCCGTTTAGCTTAATGAAAATCTTACAGTTTGTTACCCATGTATGTTGTATTTTACCATTCTTCTTCAGTTGCCTTGCCTTCCTCGCGATGTCTGCGTTTTTTCGTGTCAGATGCTCATTAATGAAAACATCCGTGCCTTTCAGTTTGCGTCCTTGTTTCAGCAGTGCGACCTTGTTCTTCCAATTGACAAATCTCATAACGACGGCCGGCGGTCTGTCACTCCTCCTGGGCAGTGAGTGACATGCTTCTATGTGCTCCAGGTCCATCTCTATCCCCTTGCTTTGGAGGAAGGACGCCACCTGTTGCTCCACCGAGCGGGTCTCCTCGTCGCTGGGCTCCCCGACGTTCCCGGCCACGCGGCGCGTAGAGCGCGGCTTGATTTTAATACCGCTGATGACCACGTCGTTCGTACGGGTGTACTGCTCCAGCTCATCCACCCGCCGCTCGAGATCCATGATCCGTCTGTCCTTTTCGGCATTTTGGAGGCGTAGCTGTTTTACCTCCTCCAGAGCCCCAGAAGCAGCTCCTGCTGCGCCCTGACTGCGCCACGTCTCCGCACAGCGCTCCGAGGGAGGTTTTAATGTCCTCAACCTCCTCTGGTGTTGGGCCTTTCTTGGGTGGCATACTGAAGCGAGAGCACGAGGCGGCCACCACGAGGGACCCGGAAGCGGAATTTCTGATGATGGCGCCTGGCTAGGCCTGCTGGCTGATGGAGGAGCCTGGCTGTGGCCTGCTGGCTGGGCCTGCTGGCTGATGGTGGAGCCTGGCTGGGCCTGCTGGCTGGAGATTGTGTTGTAGTTCCACTGCTGGTCCTAGTGGAACTCGTATCTTCTGATTGCCGTTTTCCTCCTTCACCTTAAGGATGAACTGTCCCAACTGAACTGTGGGAGTTCCAGGCCCAACGAAATAAATGGCAACAACACGATTCTTTTAGGGTTTTGGGTTTTTTTTAAATGAAAGACTCCAGACTCATTTCAAGCACTTAGGTGTGACCACATTAACCCCACCCACCTCCTCCTATGTGTTTATGAAGTACAACCAAGAAAATTGAAAAAGGAGTGGCGCCAAAACCGCTTGTTTTGGGCAATGGATGAGGGCTCAGTATCAGATAAATAAGGATTATTTTGGACTGTGAATCAAGCAAAGCTGCTCTAGTAGAGTCAAAAATTGGATGTGGTTGGCTGTTGAAAAACTATTGAAAAATTGTTACACTAACTTCACTAAATCTTATTTTTATATAATTTGACAGTATTGTTTTTAGGGAATATCATGTCAGTATAGCACATTGGAATTTGAATTCACTAAACTGTTATTTGGTGTCAGTTTCCATTTACCTTCATGGACTTCACAGATGCAACTAGTGCAACATCTTCTTATCTGGTTGCAAATTAAATCAGCTCAATGGTCTTAGCAAAGAAAGAATGAAAACGATAGTTGCTATAAAACATTTAAAAAAGTAGCTTGTAGCTATGGTCATCTTTGGTCATTTACTGGCTGACTCCTTTAGGACAATGAAAATAACCTTCATCAAAAATTTGTGATGTTCATGTTTGATTTTTCTCCCTTAGATCTTGTGTAAAGTCAGAAGCTGTAAAAAAAATATCATGTTCTTGCACAGCATTATGGTAACAGCTAAAATTGCAGAATTTCTGCCTTACCCAAATCTGGGAACCCACCACAGTCTACAGGCTACGGCCTATATTTTAGTGCTTCTGGTGTAGCCAGCAGATATCTGGATAGTGGAGAACAGATATTCTGGCCTGTTCCCTTTATGAATGCAGACAATTGCTATGTTTATGGGATGGCATATTGGCAATTGCATTGCCTCCTTTGCCCTCAGCACAGACTGTTTCCCTGCATGCAACCAGAGCCTGCTCAAACATGATTAGTTAACACTACTTGGAGCTACAAACAGACTACAAACAAAAACCAAAAAGCTTCCAGTACTGAAAATCTTGCATATTCATGTACAGGAGTACAGGAGCTGTGTATAAATTAGACTTACCCTTCTTAGCACTCCATGAAGCATCAAAAAGCAAAAAAGTTAACCTTTATATAATTCAGAGTCACTTTACCATAAACCTTTCTTTAAATAATCAGCACACTGTAGAGGTTTTCTTTGTGGGGATGCTTGCTTTAATTGGAGAGGTTTTTGTTTGTTTTTAACTTTTTAACTACTCCTGAGGTCAACTAGCTTGTACCTCACTAGCAGCTGTCAGTGGGAAATGCTATGGATGTGTTTTAATCTATATCACAACTACGGCTAAAAGGAGGAGGAAGAAAAAGTGATAAACGGATAAAAATGCGACATCTGAACGTCATATTGTTATTCAGAGCACGGGCCTCCCTCGGGCCGCATTCATAAATATGTTATGAGCAGGCCTGCCGCTACTATACAGTCCAGCAGTGATGGATATTCAGGGTGAAGGGGTTCTTGTGAGAGCAGCATGTAAAGGATGACTGGGCCGGAGTTAGTAACGCACCATTAACTGACTCACAGGATGCTCACAGACTGAAAAGAGAAGGAAACCCGGTTAGTCAGAAAATCAATATAAAACACATCAGTATGGGAGTCGGTGAGAAGCGGAGAAGACGTCTTTGGCATATTAGGATCAGTTTAAACACACTGTGCAACAAATACACTGGAACATACTTGTAGATGGTTGTACTAAAACAAGTTTGACTACATGTCGGCGCAAGGTGCAAAGACAACAGAGCCTTCAGTGCTATAGGTGAGCAGACAAGCTGCTTCTGTGCTTCTCCTCCAGGAAGACCTCAAAGATACAAGTGGAGCTAATTTAAAGTTTTTTCCTTGTGTTTTGAATCTTGCAGGCAACAGTTGTAGTATAAATACAGGACATGACGGATGTAGTACTCTATACTAAAGTGATGGTACAGTAACTCATCATGTTTTATTAAGATCCCAAAAGAGAGCACAATGATTTGGGGCAAATTAACAAACCCCTGTAGAAAAATGACTTCCTACTGTGTCTTTTGTTTAGGCTGTATCTGTATTGTGCTCAAGAATACCAGAGGCGCAAAACACCAGCTACTGGCAGACCAAGCAGTCAGCTGAGACTGCAGGACCAGACGGACCAACCTGTGCACTGCCTGGATTGATTACAAGAAGGCCTATGACTCAATGCCCCACACCTGGATCCTGGAATGCCTAGAACTATATAAGATCAACAGGACCCTGAGAGCCTTCATCAGGAACTCAATGGGGATGTGGAGGCCAACCTCAAGCCCATAGCACAAGTCACCATCAAGTGCGGGATCTACCAAGGAGATGCTCTGTCCCCACTGCTGTTCTGCATTGGCCTTGACCCCCTCAGTGAGATAATTAACAAGACTGGCTACGGATACCGACTACGGAATGGAGCAGTTGTCAGCCACCTCCTGTACATGGATGACATCAAGCTGTATGCCAAGAGTGAAAGACATCGATTCACTGATCCACACCACCAGGATATACAGCAATGACATCGGAATGTCGTTCGGGCTGGAGAAGTGTAGTTGGATGATAACAAAGAGAGGGAAGGTAGCCAGAACAGAGGGGATCAAACTACCAGAAGGCAACATTGCAGACATAGAGGACAGTTACAAGTACCTGGGGATCCCGCAGGCGAATGGGAACCATGAAGAGGCCGCTAGAAAAGCTGCAACCACCAAGTACCTGCAGAGGGTCAGGCAAGTCCTGAGGAGTCAGCTGAATGGTAAGAACAAGATCCGGGCCATCAACACGTACGCCCTGCCCGTGATCAGGTACCCTGCTGGGGTAATAGGCTGGCCAAAGGAGGAGATAGAAGCCACTGACATAAAGACAAGAAAGCTCCTTACCATGCATGGAGGGTTTCACCCCAAGTCCAGCACCCTGAGGCTGTACGCTAAGCGGAAGGAAGGGGGCTGGGGACTGGTGAGTGTCAGCACCACAGTCCAGGATGAGACAACGAACATCCAAGAATACATTGGGAAGATGGCCCCAACTGACCGAGTGCTCAGTGAATACCTCAGGCAGCAGAAAACCAGCAAGAACAGGCAGGGTGCAAGATGCTAGCAGGCAGGGCATACATGGAACGCCATAACCAAGTGGCCGGCATAGTATACAGAGAACATCTGTGCCGAATATGGAACCTGGAAGTTCCCGAGGTCAAAATGGGAGACCCCCCAAGGGTGGTGGAGAATGACCGAGCTAAGATCCTGTGGGACTTCCAGATACAGACGGACAAAATGGTGGTGGCTAACCAACCGGACATAGTGGTGGTAGACAAACAGAAGAAGACGGCCGTAGTGATCGATGTAGCGGTTCCGAATGACAGCAACATCAGGAAGAAGGAACACGAGAAGCTGGAGAAATACCAAGGGCTCAGAGAAGAGCTCGAGAGGATGTGGAGGGTGAAGGTAACGGTGGTCCCCGTGGTAATCGGAGCACTAGGTGCGGTGACTCCCAAGCTAGGCGAGTGGCTCCAGCAGATCCCGGGAACAACATCGGAGATCTCTGTCCAGAAGAGCGCAGTCCTGGGAACAGCTAAGATACTGCGCAGGACCCTCAAGCTCCAGGCCTCTGGTAGAGGATAACCGTCCACAGGGGCGAGCGGGTGTTTTTATTATATATATTATATATATATATATTGTTTAGTATTAAGCTTTGCTTGTTTCCATATTCAGTTTTTCAGACAAAACTTGTTTGAGTCCATAAGAAAAGATTCATTCTTATATCTGAGGAAGATTTTTTTCAATAAATATTAATGTTAGCCTGCGACTTTGTTCCAGTTTTGAATTTTGGCCCACTGTGTATATGAGTTTGACACCCCTGCTTTAGAGCCCATGGACACATGAATGACGCAGGAGCCGAGAACCCTGCAGAAGAGCGTCTGAGCCAGCCTCAGCGAGGAGTCGCATGCTGTGATTGGATGAATTGAAGTTAGGCAGAAGCACAGAGGACAGGCTGGCACAGAGGAAACAATGAACATGGATCAGTTTCACTGTTTAAACTTTTGACCAGCAAACCAATCTTTTCAGCATATGTTATCACAATATACAGACAAAAAGTGTCTTCCTGTGAGAGCAGGTGCTGCATTCAGTTGAAACAAAGCTTTTTCAGAGGAAAATGTACTAAAATATCATAGAAGGTATTAAAAAGATGGATCTAGCCACTGCTGTTGTAAAGCATTTAGCTGGTGTCAGAAGTGACCATTTTCAGAGGGCAGACAAGTTATCACCTGATCCAGCAGAGACAGATACTTAACAATCAGTGCCAAGTAACATGCAAATAAAATGCAAGTGTCGGTAATCAAAGATGGAGCTTTTTTTTAAGGAACAGCTGGCAGTTTTAAACACCTGGCACACCCC